CAGTTGTCTGTTTTGTCTGTGGAATAAGTTCACACTGTCACAGAGAAAAGTGTAAAGGAGAAAATAAAACTAGCGTAGTTGGAGGCGAGTCACTGTGTCCTGCATCAATGTCCAGGGGGAGCGCAGGTGAACACAACAGGAAAAGCCTCATTCTTACTCATCTGGTGATGAAATGGTCCATTCCCACTGGAATTTCCTCTGGAAGGTCTTCTGCCACATTTGCTGCCACATATGGTGTAAAAAGTCTATAGCATTTCAAATGATTATTCTTGCTCCTTCGCCTCATCTCTTGCACAGTCTCCATGGATACGGGAAAAACAAACCGTTCATTTCACAAAATCCAACAATCCTTTACCTGTGTTCTTAGAACTGCATGTGCTGCACTTCTTAGTTGGTTAAAATACCATGATATGATGTTAAAAAGAGAGCTAAAAAAACAACAAAAAAGTTTCAAAAACTGCTCAGTGTGTGAGGCAGGTAGCCAGAAAAGCAGCCAACCACTCCACTCCACTGGCACATGGGAGCATGCCCATAGGAGTATGCCTATGGCAACGGTAATGTTTATTATCATGACTTTGCATTGTAGATTCTCATTGAAGACATCAAAACTTAGCCTAACTATATATATGTGTATATGTATGTATATATATATATATATATATATATATATATATATATATATATATATATATATATATATATATATATATATACACACACACACACACACACACATATATATATATATATATATATATATATATATATATATATATATATATATATATATATCTCCATGGCCGAGCACCAAAGTACATCTGTGACATGTTAGTGTCATATGAACCATCTCGCACTCTGAGGAGCTCAGGGACCGGCCTCCTGCTGGTGCCCAGAGTCACAACTAAACAAGGGGAGTCAGAGTTTCATTCCGCACTCTTCTCTCTAATTTATGTCTTTCTTTTTTTATTTTAATCTTCACGATTATTTATGTTTTGATTTGTTTTTATTATGATTTTAATGTATTTCTTATTCTGTAAAGCACTTTGAATTACTTTGTGTACGAATTGTGCTATACAAATAAACTTGCCTTGCCTATATATATATATATATATATATATATATATATATATATATATATATATATATATATATATATATATATATATATATATATATATATATATATATATATATATATATATATATATATATAGTTATAAGTGCTCTGTTTAGTTTTAGTTTTTTGTTTTTTTTTGAAAATCTAAAATGTTAAAAAAAAATGTGTTCATCACGGGTCCGGAACCTTTGTCCTGGTTTTGTTTCTCGCACGGAGCGGTGTTATTGTAGCTCCGCGATGGCAGCTGTGGAGACACATGTGCAGGGCTCAGGTGAGTTCTGTCATTTATTTGTTTATTCTGTTCTATAAAAGTCACATTGACACGTGGAGAAGCACTGACGTGACCCGTGTCCAGTCTGTATATTATCTCTATATTATAGATTTAACTCAGGACGGAAGTACGCGTTTGTTTGGTAGAATGTTAGCATGTCAGTTAGCATTAGCCTGGCATGTTGAAGTGTTTTTTCTTTCTTTTTGTTCTGTTCATCTTTTCACACAAATCTTTGGCTCTTTTTACAACATTTTTTTTTTTTTATTTCAGCATGCCCCGTCAGTGTACTTTAATTCTCGTACGTGTCTGTGTAATTCTGTTCTCTCTGCCTGAAAGAATAACATCAGTCCAACTCCTCAGTGTGGTTGTTTAATAATAATAAAAAAAAAAAAAACAACACACACACACACCAACAATTGTGATCAGAAAAATACTCCGATACATTCTTATTGAGAACATTTGACATGTAACTTGAGCTGGTGGCGTCTCTTAGACTGGAGATAGAAGTTTAAAGTTATTCTGTGGAACATTCCAGGTAAAGTAATAACATTGTAAGAATCTAGTGTTGTCACAGTGCAGTAGTTTCTTTTGATAAAAAAATATATATTTTAACATGAGCTTGTAGAACTTTCTTTTCTATTCCCATGTGATCTTAAATATATGTAATCCCTCAGTGGTCCGTGTGTGTATAATGGTGTGTGCTTTTATACTTGTTCTGATACAGCTCAAGACCATTTGAAAGTTTCAGGAAAGGTTCATTTCTATCCTGGGAATGTGATTTATTATTATTACTTTTTTTAGTGTTGATTCCTGCTTAAACGAGAATCATGTTTTGATACTAGTATACTAATATTGTGTTGATATTGTAACAGTTGAGATGGTTTGAAGAGCGATTTCCCCTTTTTCATTTGAAGCACACTTTCTTAGATCCTGATCTTTTTGTCACAGACCCGGAGCTCCACAGCGATGAGGAGTTTAAAGAGTTTGAGGAGGGCAGCGAGGGCGACGCAGGCTCTGATGGTAACTCCTGAACTATCTTTAAGTTATTAAAAGTGTGAATCAGTCATCAATTAAATGCCTCCACAGAGACAAAGTGGCACGTGGCTCCAAAAAAGTTAGAGCTATTAGAACTATTCGCCTTTAACTACAAATCAGTATATTTGGTAGAAAAGGCGTCTCAAATGTAAGATGCCATTTTTAGTTTGGAGAAAGTAGAATAGTGTTTGTATTGTTTATATAATAAATTGTGTTTTAAACATCTAGAGCTGGGAGATATTTCCTTGTATTGATCAATCTTGACTTTGATTTGATTTGGTCTTTTCAAAAACAAAATAAAAAGGCTTTTAGTATAGATTTTATGAACATAAACAACACAATACATGAATCTGCCAAAAAATCTCATATTTCTTCCTCCACATTTTTAAGTCTGGACCATGTGTTTTCTAGACCTCGATTTAAAAACCCCAACCAGATGAGCAACAATTACACACGACTGATTCACAGTCTCTTGATCTTTCCATTAATTGTTGAAAAAAAAGAAAGAAATTGCCCTTGTGGAGCTCAACAGTGACTGCTCTGGTTCCAGTAGTACATTTTCCATATGTTATTCCCATATACTTTTAAAAAAATTTAATAAAAACTAATATTCATAACACGGCTGTTTTATGTCCAAGAAGCACATTTATAACGTGAGATTTGCAAAATGCTTTTATAACTTTGCTTATGTTTATAAAGTACTTTGGGTGTCTTGAAATACTTTACACAACGCTTTATAAATCCAATGACTATTTCACTTTAAATAAAATGCTTAATCTTGAAGTCATTAGTTTACTTGTAGTAGATCAGCCTTGAGATTTCAAACTTAGAATATACTTTTTTTTTCACAAAGTGTATGAGAAAACTTAATGAGAAATTTAGATCCATACCCGGGGATCAGGCGGTCACTGTTGAATCCATAAATAAGATTACAGTTACACAAGTTGATTACATAAGTTGTTGGGTAACCTACAAAATATCAAGATAAATTTTTGTCAAGACCAGCTGAACCATGTGTGAAAGGAATACAATATAAAAACTCCTTAGAAAAATACTTTTGTTTTTTGGTCTTTCACAATTTATTTCATTTACTTTGAACCCAAATAGACGGAGACAGCGATGGGGACGCGGGCAGCGACGGGGACGCGGGCAGCGACGGGGACGCGGGCAGCGACGGGGACGATGAGGAGGCAGAGGATGAGCACGAGGCTGAGGCCGGGGATCCTGCAGAGGACGATGAGGCCAACGCTAACGCAGGCTGGGCTGAAGCTATGGCCAAAATCCTGGGCAAACCCACCACCCAGAACCAGAGCACCATCCTCCAGAAAAACAAAGACCTGCTGAAGGTGAAGGAGAAGGAGCGCGAGGAACAGCTGGAGAAGAGGAAACAGGTATGAGGTTTCTTTCAGTTATGTGGCTGTTTGTCCAAAAAAAAAGTTGAGAAGAAAAGGACAAAAATTACAAACATGTACGTAGAACTGACAAACATGGATTAAATATGTTTACAGCCTTTTTATTATGACAAGAAAGTATTATGTTAAAACAAAAACATAATTGTTACAGGTTATAACAGCTTCAGTTATATTAAGCTCATATGCAGGATACTAAAGAGCGACCAGCTGCAACAACAAGGGAAGAGGGAAGCGTTCACCATTTTGTTCACCAGAGCACACATCCAGAGTGTGTGTATCTTAGACTTAAGGTGCTTTCACACCGACAGTAGTTGGTGTGCGCCAAACGGTCCATTCAAACCAAAAGCTCTTAATTTGGTTCGGTTTCATTGGTGTGAAAGCTTCAATCGCACTCAGACCCGCACCAAATCAAGTGAACCGAGACCTCAAAAAAGCGGTGGTCTCGGTTCGCTTAAATTTGCACCAAATGCCAAACTCTGGTGCGGTTCCTCTGGTGTGAACGCGAACTCGGGTCCAAACCATAGACAGTAGGTCCAAACAAACTATTCCAAATGCATCATGGGAGGGGTTACACGTCTCCTCTGCCTGAAATGACGCGCTACGACTCCAGTGCAATAACAGATTGTTGTCCAGACGCAGCCGCGATTCATTTTCAAATTATTTTGCCATTAGCGGCCAATACAGAGAATGTGATACACGATGATCAGAGCAAGAACCAATGTGCAAACATGTGGCTCCAGAGTGAGTCAAAACTGAACGTGCGTACCTCTGTTCAAGACCTGCACGCTCAGAGGGGTCCTGGTGTTTCCCGTCTTCACATAACAACCAGCATTTGTTATTTTAGGCTGTTAATTAACCAAATAATTTTATGGCAATAAACAATAGCCTATTCAATTGATTCAACTTTAATCCACAAGGGAAATCATTTGGACACAGTAGCTCACACAAGTAAAAAATATAAATGGTAATAATAAATTCTAAATAAGTAGCAAAAAGGAGTTTCTGATGAAAGCTTTTTTCAGAGTTTTTTATTTTTTTTTTTTTATAAATTACAAACAAGCTCTTGGACATCTGAGTGTGCTATGCATTTTTTTTTTCACCCAGAAACAACTACAGCATGGTTAAACTCACTATTTTGCATAATATCATAATATAAACAACCAAAAATGGCTGTTGAAGAATCTCAGGACAAGTGACTCTAAACTCTAGGCCTCTTCTGGTAGTGTGTGTTCCTCTGTTGAATGTTATTGGTAAAAATACCTTGAGAAAATATCTTGGCTTGAATTAAAAAGCAAAAATGCCACATGCAAAATACAAAATGTGTTGCTTGCTCAGTTTTTGTCTTTGTTTATGTGTGTTTTTGTGTCTGTGTGTACAACAGCTGGACAAGAAGCGATCGTGGGAGATGATGAGTCGAGTGAAACCGGACGCCGTGAAGGACAGAGAGGCGGAGAAGGCTCTGCAGAGAATCGCCACCAGGTAAAACTAACGCTGCCTCCTCCTCCTCAGTACGGAGGTTGCGGGTTCGACTCCTGTCCTCCCTGTAGTGTCGGTCGTGTCTTATCTTTGTCCCGTTGCAGAGGCGTGGTGCAGCTGTTTAACGCCGTAAAGAAGCATCAGAACATCATCAACGAGAAGGTGAAAGAAGTGGGCGGGTCCGAGCGGAAAAAGGCCAAGATCCTGTCGTCCGTGTCAAAGAAAGACTTCATCGACGTTTTGAGGCGGACGGAAGAAGGGCCGACGAAAACCACCAAGAAGGAGAAGAAGGTGAGTGGAGAGAGGCAGATACAAATCATACGGTGTTTCCCAATCGTCAGGATCCACGGCTTATGAACCACGTCGGGCAGATCCACCTCATCAGATCGCCAAGTTTTGTTCCAATAAACCTTTTTTCACCACAACCAGAAGTTTAGGTTTGCCAAAGTTTCTGTTAATGGTTTTCTGTGGCAAAATGTCTGTGGAAATGTGTGACGTATTCTCCACCAGCTTCATAAATCTGCCCCATCACCAAATCTTCAACCAACAAGGTCCACAAAGGATAAACATTCTAACATGAAGAATTTACCGTATTTTCCGGGCTATTAGTCGCTCTGGATTATAAGGCGCACTGTCATTAAATGGTCTATTTTCGAACTTTTTTCACAAATAAACCGCGTGGGACTTTAAAGGGAAAACAACAGTGTGATGGGTGAGTGGTTTTGTTTGTTTGTTCGTTCACGGTGACTCTGGGCTTTGTTCAGTTGTGGCGTGTAGGGAGGGTGCTGTCTGGGACCAACGGATTGTCGGCGTGTTCACAGTGACTCAGTTGTTCAGTCGTGTCTAGAAGTGGCACATTGCGCTCGCTTTTTCCGTTCGTTCCTCCGTTCCGTTCCTCGTCGGCGTGGAGTGATGAGTGTGTTTGTGGGTGTGTTTCGCTGTGCGGTCGCTGTCTGCTCCGTGTGTGTTTGTGTGTTCTGTGGGTGGTGCGGCTTTGTAGTTTACTGAAGTTGAGCTGGGACACCCGAGTGGATTCATGTATAGGGCGCGCTGTCGTTTTTTGATGGGTTTAGAGGCTTAAAAGTGCGTCTAATAGCCAGGAAAATACGGTATCCACAACTATCAAGGTAAGAAAGACGAAAGCTTAAAAGCAAACAATGATGACGCATTAGTGACACACTGAACAAAACTAACATAATAATCATGAATAAAACATAAGTAACTTGTTCACTTAAAATTTAAAATCGATTCCATGATGTCGATATTGGCATAGATCGATTTGTTCTAATGCTACAGATCAGACATGTCAAACTCAGGCCAAAATTTGCTCGCGATATAATTATATTTGACCCGCGAGATCATATCAAATATGTATTAGAGCTGCACCCCGCCTACAGATCGACTATAGAAACAATATTTATTTACAATGTTGTTATTTTATATTCTGCTTGTTCTGGATTCAGTGTTTAAGTAAAACTATTATTAAACATTTATTTTAATAAGAAAAGGTTTAACATTACATAGAACATTACAAAGAAGAGAAAACATGCATAAATATTTAGTTTGGCCCACGACTTAGTCCCAGTTTTTAATTTTGGCCTCTGTGAATTTAAGTTTGACACCCCTGATATAGATGTTCACAGATTACATGTCTAGCGTTCAAACTGCACAAATCTGTCTGTGTTAATATCTACATCATGAAATTGATTTTTAATTTTAATTGTAGAATCAGTCTGAGTGAACAAGTTACTTCTCTTTTATTGACAATTTTGCTCAGTAGTTCACTAATTCTCATCGTTGTTCTGCTTTAAGTTTTCGTCTTTCTTACTCTTGATAGTTGTGGATAAATTCTTCATGTTAGAATGTTTATCCTTTGTGGATCGTGTTGGTTGAAGATTTGGTGATGGGGCAGATTTATGAAGCTGTTGCAGACATTTACACAGAGACTTTGCCACAGAAAACCATTGTAAAAAGTTCTATACTCCCAAATCCCTCACGTCCTCCGCGCTCCACTCCTCCGTTTCGCTTTTTTACCAAAGACGCACCAGCGGATGCTTGGTCGCCTCAGAGTGCTTGAAATTGCCCAAAATGCAACTTCATTTTTTACAAACTTTACTTAAGCAGTAAAATACCTTTTAATAAAATAAAACTCGTTCTACAATGAAAAAAGAAGTAAACATTTTGCTGTTTTAGCCACATTGCTGCAGATCACACTATTAACAGAACAGTGAATTAAAATCAGGACAAATGGAGCAAAATCTCTTACAGAAGAAGATTGGGTATATAATTAACCTATCATACAAAAATGTTTCAACCTGTGTATTTATTTATTTAGGTTAATGATCAGCCTAAATAACTCGATAACACATTCACTCAGCCTTTATTATTCACACATAAAAACACCTCTGAACACTTTATTTATTTGTAGAAGCATTCATGATTTTGGAGGAAGAATCCTGGGAATTGAGAAACACCCATAGATATATTAGTTTCAATCTAAACTAGAGATGGGACGAGATACAATTTTCACGAGACGAGACAAGATGAAATTTTGACATAATTTGTAATAAATAACAATAACGTAGTGCAGTCCATTTTACAATTTTAGCATCACCATTTTTACTTATTTTACGTAATACTTTAGTCCTCATTGTTTTTGTGATTTTATTTTTTAAACTAAAGCTTCTCAAATTGTGTCAGCTCTTAACTCTTTTTCTGTCCAAGCCAAAAGTAAATTCAGGAGGAAAAAAATCGCGTGAGATCTCGTCCCATTTCTGATCTACACTTTTATGTATTTATTGCAAACATCAACATGCTGAAATTATTAATAAAAAAATAAATACAACTTGACTTAGAAACTTATTAGACTTGAACAAACTTTGATTCACGGATGTGTAACTCCACCTTTTGTCCACCGGGTGTCAGTGTTGCTTCACTAAAAACCTGTTGTATTGTCGTTTTCAGGCTGCGGTGAAGGAGGAGGAGGACGAGGAGACGCCGGCCTGGAACGTGCTCAGGGAAGACTTCATGATGGGAGCCTCAATGAAAGACTGGGACAAGGAGAGCGACGGAGACGGAGAGGGAGAGGGGGGAACGGAGGAGAGAGGAGCACAAGGAGAGGAGAGCGATTCGGACTGAGGAGAGGGAGGAGCTCGGGGGAGAGAAACGGAGGAGAGGACCAGGAGGAGAAGTGACCGGGGCCCAAGAAGAGGAGAGAAAATTGGACCGAGACATGAGAGACTGGGGACATGTTAAATAGACTGTAGGGCTGGACGATATGAGAAAAGAAGAATCACAATCTCTTTTCCCCATAATGATAGATCTCGATTTTCGATTCGATCTTCTTCCACCTTATCAAAGACTTCAGGCATAAAGTTCAGGTTGTCAGGATCACTATTGTGTGTATTTCTTGTTTGATAGGACTTATAATTACGGAGAAATCCACGTGTAAATTTAGAAACACTTGCGATGTCCGTGCGCTAAATTAGGTCTCACGTTTCACTCATAAACTGTGAGAAAATAGTCGTTTACTTTCCATAACTTGGATTATAAAGATGAGAAGCACAAGAGGAGAGAAAGAGAAAAAAAAGGTGAAGACTTTTAATCAAATTGTGCAGATTTAACATCACCTGAGGAGACGTAAAGAGACGCGCTGTGGCTCAGGCTGCTTTTTCCTAAACAAGAGTGGAAATTCTCACGATTGGCTGTTGAACTGTCGATTAAAACGCGCTCGCCTTATCATCGAGATCGACCAGAATTTTGGCACAGCCCTAACATGTGGTATTCTTTAGCAGAGTGACTCAAATGTTAGTAGTTTTTTTTTTCCTAGACCAAGAGTTTGTTTTCATACGTGACAGTTTCGACTCTTCTCCGCGCTCTTCCTCAGAGTCGTCACGTGATGTTGCTGTGACGTATCCAGCTGATTTAAACAGGTTTTGGCGCCGTTGTCCCGAATCCTCTTGTTGAAAGACATCGCCAAAACCCGTATAAATCAGATGACCGAATCTGACCGAGCTGCAATCCGACTTCTGACCGGACACGTCACAGCAACATCAGGTGACGAGTCTGAGGAAGAGCGCGGGGAGGAGTCGAAACTGTCAGATATGAAAACAAACCCTTGGTCTAAAAAACAACAACATAATAACATGAATTATCGGAAGACCAAATGAACCTCACTGGATGCGCAAACTACAGCCTGGGGACCATATGCATCCCCTTTAATCTTTTTAATCCGGCCTGTCCAACTTGATTAATAATGACAATAAAGTTCAAGGTTTTAAAAGTCATTTCAATAAATAGTAAATACCGTGGCACTTGAAAGACAGGTGTTTTGTTGTAATGATTTTCGATAACATGGGATTTGTTTTCTACATATCCCATGTTTTTCTCTTATGAGGTGGATTACCAAAAAACTCCATCCATCTGCTCCTGGTCCGGTCCTTCCGTCAAATTTTAGAAACCTTGAAAAAGTGAAAAAGTTTGCCCTGCCCTGGACTAAAGTGACTCAAACTGTTCTCACCAGTTACCACCAAAGATGAGACTTCGCTTTCCCAGTATGAGATCTATAACTGAACTATTCCGGGTCTGATCGAGGACTAAACCAGGTCTAAACGTGGACTACATCGTTCCCACTGTAGTTCTAAACAAGAAATGATCCAAAAAGGAGAAAATAGTGGATAAAATAAACTCTAAAAGAAGCAAACACATGAACTGAAGATCTGTCCAAGCAGCACGTGAAGGAGCTGCTCACGTACCACAGTCTGAGAAACATTTATTTAACAGAATTTGTCTTTTTGTCTGGTTTAATCGCTCTGTAATTACTCTGCCTGTCCACGTGAAACAAAAACTGACACAACATATTCAAAATGCGATGTCTTCTCTCAGTCTCGTTCCAATGTTTGGATCGTGAACCCTTCCCTCCGTCTGAAATCGTGACATGAAATTCAGAAACAGGACACGGACCATGGGGACTTTTCTTATCCTGTGGAATATTCCAGAGAAAGTGGACTTCAAACTGGATTATAAACCTCAAGGACACTCGTCAGAACATAGGTTTTTTTGTTATTTGTGAAACATTGATTCAAATTGTTTATAAAATATGTAAATGCCACATGTTGCTTCTGTGTTTTTTTGTTTTTATGTCTTTGTAATACCTGACCTAAGCTTAAACGAGTTATGGCTTTGCCCAAAATGTTCCACTGTACGATATTTAACTTGTCGATCTCCACAGAGACAAGTTCATGCCAAGTTATAGGTCAGATCTGCGAAGAGGCAAGGCCACGTTTTTTATCAATACAAACTTGAATATTGCATAGAAATGTGGACTCTGCATTCACATCGTTTTCGGGAGTTTAGAGTCAAAATCTTTTAATTCTTTGTAGGAAGAGATTTAATTTTGGTGACATGACTTTAAATAGAAAAGTAAAATGTCCAATAAGGTGCATCATTTGCCCAACTTTTTGAAATATTTTTTTAAATCAATCTGTACACATTATAAATTTTTTTGATAAACTTCCATGAGAAATTTCCAGAAATTCTCTTGAGGTCTACTGAGTCCACCAAGCCTCTGAAGTTTAGTGCTTGTGGCTTTAAATCTGAGCTGAAAAATCAGTTTTTCTTCAATAACATCCTTATCCTTTCTGGAAACTTGGGTTTACCAAACCCTGAGCCGTACCTGTCATTGGGACACACTGGTGACATCGCACTCACTCACTTCACTTTTTATACCGGGGTGGGTAAACTACGGCCCGGGGACCATATGTGGCCCTTTAATCTTTTTAAGCCGGTCCGCCGAACTTGAATAATAATAATAATGATTTTCAGTGTTTTAAGTAATTTCAATAAATAGCAAATACCGTTGGACTTGAAAGACAGATATTTTGTTGTAATGATTTTCAATTATGGGATATTTCAATAATGTAATATTGTAACATGTCATTTTTTTTCTCTTATGAGGTGAATTACCAAAAACCTCCATCCATCTGCTACTGGTCCGGCCCTTCTGTTAAATTTTAGAACCCTTTGTGGCCCAAGAGTCAAAAGGTTTTATACAGTCTATGATCACTACAGAAAGAACAAACTTTGTCTCTCATTTCATCTTTGGACTTTGTGGATATTGGATAATTATGAAAAGTATTGACAGAATTTTCATATTTTAGAAAATTATGAAGATTGAGATATAAAATTGGTACCAAAAGATGCACAATAGCAACATTTATATTTAACTTTCATTGACACCATGGCCCTAAATGAATTATTTTTAAAGTTATTTGAGAAAAACTGATTTTTCTGCCAGAGCTTTATGGACACTTTATGGACCTTAAGAGGTTTGGTGGACCCAGTAGATTTTATTCATTTGAGCAAATATTCCACAGATTTTCTTTTAATTGATATTGTCATATTTTAAAATTGGGTACAAGTTGAATTTCTGACATTGGGGCAAATGATGCAGCCGAATGTCCAAGATGTTTTGTTTTTTTTTTATTGCATTTTTCTGATGTGAGGGAAACATGAGATCCAAGAGTTTTTAGATTTTTTTTTTCTTTTATCAATTCTTTCATTCATGATCAGATTTTTATCAAATTCTCTGTTGTCCCGTGTAGTCAGAGCGGTCTTCAGTGTGTGTGTTTATCAGCAGTTGTGTGGGTTTAACAGTGTTCTCGATCAGCAGGCTGGTATCTGTCCTTTTGTCCCCGTTAAACCTGAGACGCGACGCTCCAGAGGGACTAAAACAAACCGTCTGCTGTGGAGACCAGAGCACCGCGCCAAACCGAGGAGTCTGAAACGGTGACTGTACTCTGCAGAACACGCCCGCGCCTCCCGCTGATACCGCGCAGTCACATCACGCCGGGGGTGCTCTACACGGATCTGCACGGAGGAATGTTCAGCGGTTACCACGGTGACACGAACACACTCAAAAAAAAGGATTTACGATAGTCTAAAAACTCAAGAAAAACTACAAAATGGGTTTGAACGACACATTTTTAGGAGCCTGTGATCGATACAAGCGTTAATAGTCCAATGGTTCATTTGGTCTTCTGATAATTTATGTTTAATAGGTTCTTTTTTCAGACCAAGAGTTTGTTTTCACATCACGAGACTCTGAGGAAGACCAGTCGAAAAGCTGTCAGGTATGAAACTAACTCTTGGTCTGAAAAAAGAACCTATTAACAAGAGTGTTTATAGTCCCATTTAGGTTTGATTTCATGTGTGAGAGACTTGACCATACGTCCCTTTTTACCCGGGACAGTCCCAGTTTTCTGATTTTACTGTAGATGTATTGTAGCCTGATTCATCAGCCGTGGAAACCGTCTGACCTCACAGCATTAGAATTTGTTCGCTCGACAGTAGGCAGGTACTTTTTTTATTGAACCAATCACGGCTATTTGGTCGTGACGTATGTAACGCGCTACTGACGAGGATAACTGGTATATTAAGCTTTTCCCAAATTCCGTAAGAAGAAGGGCAATAACGTCTTTCCCCTTGATAAAATTCAACAAACATTCTCTTTGCTCCAGCTTTAAATCCTCGATCTCGCGAATCGTTGCCAACACAGAATGTATGTCTCTTTGCTGATTGGCTGGTGCCTGAACTCGCATTTCTGGAGTTCTAGAAAACCATCTAGCACAGGAGTTTCCAAACTTTTTTCATCAAGGGCCACATTTCTAAACACAGATGAAGCAGAGGGCCGATCGAGGGCCACAGACTGATGCTCAATACAGGGAATAATTAAAATATGTGCATGTTTAACAGGTTAGAATGAGCCATCAGTCCTTTATTCACAGTGTTGGGGAGTAACAGATTACATGTACCGGGATTACATAATCAGAGTATTTATGAGTAACTGTATTCAGTTACAGTTACTGTTTCAGTGAGTGGTAATTGGATTACAGTTACTTTGTTGAAATAAATGGATTACAGGGCGGTATTTTCCTGTTTTCACATTTTGGGCTAAACCAGGTCTGAACCAGGAGAAAAACCAGGACTAAACCAGGACTAAACCAGGTCTAAACCAGGTCTAAAAGCAGGACTAAAGGAGGACTAAACTACGACTAAACTATGACTAAAACTAGGACTAAAACCAGGTCTAAAACCAGGACTAAATCAGGACTAAACAATATGACACCTAACAGTAGAGTGGACATAATTTAAGGCAGCAGTGATCTCATATAGAAATCATTTCTCTATCAATAATATTTTTTATATGCTTAAGTAAAGACTGGACTTTTCATTTTCTCTTAACAGACAAAACAAAACATCTTATGTTAAGATTTCCTGGTCTTTGCTTCTCTACAACAAACAGTTTCTTTTTCATGGAGACTTGGGCTCAACAGAGAATTTGAAGAGAACAAACATGAATTTTCAGGATGTGGTTGTTTCATTCATGTCATTTTAAAAAGCAAGACAATATCAAATAATCCAAAGTATTCAGATTACTCACTTTAAGTAATTTAATGGATTACGTTACAAACTACATTTTGGGGTATGTAATCTGTAATCTGTAGGGGAATACATTTTAAAAGTAACCTTCCCAACACTGTTTATTCACACTAAGATCCTCAAAACCACACACTAAAAATGTAATATTGGCTTTATCACGGTAGATTTTCAGAAAACTTGCAGTAAAAAGTTCATTTTTAATTGATGCAAGGAAATTTGGACCAATTCTCCTGGAAGCCTGAGGGCCAAGAAAAATGTGTCTGAGGGCTGCATTTTGCCCACGGGCCGGAGTTTGGACATGCCTGGTCTAGTGTATTCCGATTCCTGACCTAATCGCTGGAGAGAAATGAAACTGAGCGGAGGCACTAGGTGGCGCCAGTTTGACTTATTTATTGTGTTTAACTCATAAATTTGTCTGGATGGTCATGTTGTTGATTAATTATATTTTAACGGATAATAATACTGATAAATTTGGTAATTTTACATTTTTGAGCACCAAGAATTTGAGTATTTTTAGAAGATAATGATAAATTTGAAATGTTGTATTTTCGGAAACTGGAATGAATTAATTTTGATTGATTTAATGATGAATTGGATTGCGGTTATTTTAAGGAGACGCTGTTAATGATGAATTATTGTTGTGTAAATAGTTTCCTTAACGTGCAAATAGTTTCTTTCATGTGTTTTGTAGCTGCCAGAGGACTGCAGATGGAAAGGAGCTTGGCACAGAGCGTCTTTTCTGTCAGATTTGAACGTTTTCTCTGCTCTGTCCCGGTTTTAAATAAATAAATACACATCGAGGGTGTGGGAGTGTGGGAACGCGGGATGTGACCGGCTTTAAGACCCGGTGGCGGCACACACCGGGAGCCAGTCGGACCATTAGCCGATGCAGCGCAGTCCCAAAGCGCACAACGAACTCTCTCCTCCACGAAGTTCAGCGGCTCCTGTTCCGAAGCAACGCCCGCTGTCTCCATCTGAGCCTGGACCCGAGACCGGACGAACCAGCACACACACACACAGAGACACACAGACAGACAGCAGAAAGAAACAGAAAACAGAACAGAACCCGCGTTTTTTTTATTGCAGTTTTGAATTTTCGGCTCGGATTTGGCACGCGTAAAGACGAAACGTGCCGTGGATAGATGGGGTGAGGGGGATACAAACGAAGGGAGATACTTTTTTTTTTCCAACATCAAACTTTGGATTTACTGGAAAACCTTATCTCATCTCTCATAACTTATTATTCCCCTTCAAGTTTTCATACTTTTCCCACGTTCCCACGCTGTTTCTTGGAATAAAACGGGATGTACCTCTCGCCAAGACATTAAGGATTTGTGGAGCGTAGTGGAAGTAGCTGACCGACTCTTTCGTCTTTTCTCATGCGGTGGAGGAGTCGCTTTTCCCGCAGGACGCTCGGACCAGCAGCCCCTGACATACCCAGCATCGTCCGAATCCTCCACGCAGCGTTTTGGCCACTTTTTTACTCACCACTTGGCCGTGCGCCTTTTGGGAACAGCGCGTTGGATACTGACACAAGTTTGGATAAATATTTTTGTGCGCGGATTTATGGGATTTAAATACAGTTTTTAAAGTTTTTTTTTTTTTTTTTTTTTTTTGGAGATTGCTTTTGCGTGGGATGCTCATAAGAACTTCCACTCAGAATTGGAAAAACACAGGTGGGATACTCATTTGTTGTTTTCAGATTGTCCCGATTTGAAATATTACAGACCGAATCAATTACGTGGAATTGTGAAGGGAAAAATCCACAGTGAAGGTCCAGATCGATAATCCCGCTTTATTTAAGTAAACTAAACAGATCACAAAACCAGCCTTCAGTAAATACCGATGTCCCCGTATAGGTCGATCCTTTAAGTGCTCATAAAAAGTTCGTAATACCTGCTTGCCTTTTACGAGCGTTTTAATCTGTCAACAAACTCTTTAGTGCACGTTTGAGGGGGGGGGACTTGGAAAGGAAAAGAAAGTAACGCGATAGTTCTCAGTTTCTTGGTTAATAAATGGCTGTTTGGTTGAACGCTCCGTGGCGCAGATTCAGCTCTTGGCTCCGGTGGCTCCTCCAGCGCGCCCCCGGGTTGGATAAAAAGTGTCCGATTGCAGCACATTCTCGCCGCATGTTGTAATATTTTGCTCTGGCCTCCTCCGCTGGAGGATTTGATCTGCGGCTCTGGACTGAAGCAGAGGCCGGCCACAGCGCGACCGGCGTGTGATTCTGCGGCTTTTGGTCAAAGACACGAGATTTATGATCTGAGAGGAGCGAGGGGACACACGAGAGAAGTCTGAAGAGTTTAAGACATTTAGAGATGTTATGATTCACAAACAGTTGACTGTCTCTGGACTCTTTGCGCCAGTCCCAGACCCAGGTGCACTGTATCCTAAAGAAGAATTAAAAGTTCTTATAAAACTCTTATAATTTCACACACTGTTAGTCGGAATAACACCATGCAGCCACAGCTGCCTGTGGGCACAGTAACAGGAATTTGGTTGCTAATCTGCGCCCACAGTCCCTGGGACCAGCACCAAACACAACATACATTTGGATATTTACTCTGCACTGGCCGGAGCCGGGAGCAGGCTGCCAGCCTCTGGGTTTGTGGGTGAACACTCACTATGATAAAAGTGTGCAGGAGATTTGAACAGGCTTTCAAAAGTCACTAAATGAACCTCATCATTTATTTCTGACATGGTCCATTACTAAAGAGGAGCTGGAAAGCCACAGCAGAGCTCTGAGTTTGTTCTACAGAGGAATCTGAGGCGAGCAGCCTGGCCTTAGCAGGCTTCAGTTCTCCAGTTTTTTTAATGTATTTATTTATTTTTATTTTTTTATTTACCCAACCATGTGTCAGAGGTAATTTTGTGGTTATTAAAGGGTCCATATTAAGCTGTTTTCTGATCTATGTTAGAATGTTTCCTCATCTCAAACAGACCTGGAGTTGTGTTCTGTTTCATTCGCACAAGTTTAACAAACAAATCCTGCATATTTAGGCTGAGTTCTTCTTTTAAACGCCGCTGCTCCATTGTGTTTTTAAACCGCATACACCTTCGCTAAACTCATTTGGATAATTTCAGCCCATAAATGACCAAATAAAGGTAAAAGGAGCTGTTAACTTGCACATTACCGCTGTCATAAAGTGTAACAGAGCGTTTTGAGCTTTGGAGATGTAAACAGAATAATTACACAGGATTACTCAGACATGTGAAGGAAACAAAACACAACTCCAGGTCTGTTTTCTGATGAGGTAACAACATTATAATTTGGCTTAAAGCTCACGAGGATCAATTTTGTGACCTTTTAATTAAACATTATATCTCTATAGCAGAAAATGCAGAACCATGGTGCATTCTTCTCCACTAATTGATGTTTTGTGTTTCTTTCTTTCACAGTGAAGATGAATCCGAGCCTCCATCTCGTGCTGTTGGTTCTGGACCTCCTTGCTCTCTCCGCTGCCCTCTCCACCTGCAGCACCCTGGACATGGACGAGTTTAGGAAGAAGCGCATCGAGGCCATCAAGGGTCAGATCCTGAGCAAACTGAAGCTGAGCCGCCCGCCCGAGGAGTACCCCGAGCCCGAGGAGGTGTCCCGGGACGTGGTGGCCATCTACAACAGCACCCGCGACCTGCTGCTGGAGAAGGCCAACGAGAGAGCGGCCACGTGCGAGAGGCAGAGGAGCGAGGAGGAGTACTACGCCAAAGAGGTGCACAAGATTGACATGCTGCCGTTCTACCCCGCCGAGAGTGAGTACTGACCAGACTGTGTGTACTTTTAAAGGAACTCTATGTAGTCTGTGCTCTTGCAGTTTTAAGAAAATGTACTACAATCATAACTGAGCCTAGTGCCTGTGTCTTAAAATCATAAAATCTGGCGTCGTATTGTTTTTAGTGGCCTGTGTAATAACGTGGTGCAATCCATTTAACAATTTTGGCTTCACTATTGTTATTTATTTTATATAATACTTAAGTGCTCATTGTTTGCTGCTTTTTTGAACTACAGCATCTTAAATTATAGACTGATTCATCAGTTGGGTTTCATTTTGTGGGAACTGTCTGACCTCGCAGCATTAGGATTCATTCGCTCGACGGAAGAAGGACACTGTTTTTATTCAACCAATCGCTGCTGTTTAGTCGTGACGATTGTACTGCTCCAAATTCCGAAGGAAGAAGGGCAATAACATCTTTATCTTTTTCTTTGATAAAATTCACCAAACATTCTCTTTGTTCCGGTTTTAAATCCTCAATCGGAATTGTTGCCAACACAGAATGTCTGTCTTCGTCTACATCAGGGGTGTCAAACTCATTTTGGTCCGGGGGCCGTGTCCAACCTACTTTGATCCCAAAGGGGCCGGATCAGAAAACTCATGACATATAAACCCCAAAAATAACAATAAGTTCAAATATTTGTGCAGAGAAACGCAAATCTATTACAGAAACCTTTTTTAATTGATTAACTCTTTTTTTTTTACAAAATATTATAATATTATGAACAACCTGAAAATTTAAGAAAAACGTAATTTCAACACAATGTTTTAACATGAACTTGTATGTAAATAGGAATAAGTCAATTTTTCTTGGAAAATCCTGCACTCGGCTCCACTTTTCTCATTTTTGACATTTTGCTGATGAGGTTGTCACGGTCAACAGTCAAAACGATCGTCCTTTAAGAGCGTTTGGAAAGACACAAGTCTTCATTTGTGCTGCTCTGGTGGGAGGGGCCACGTACAGAGACGCTGGAGACGCTGCTGTGATAAACACCACAGAAAATTAACAAGATTTTAATAGAAAATATAATTCAAATATTTTAGTAGAAAATCAGCCAAGGGCCAGATTAAAGGTCTTGGAAGGCCGGATCTGGCCCCCGGGCCGTATGTTTGACACCCCTGGTCTGCATCCATCTCGACACTTTGTTTACTGTTGTGCTGTTCCACAAAAGGGACACAGACGGATGCGACGAGTTTGACGTCATGACTTCACAGCTCTTCACTGATTGGTCAGTGTATGATCAACAACTTCCCAGGTTCTTGCAAATCGTCTAGTGTATTTTGATTCTTGACCTAGTCGCTGGAGAGAAATGAAATTGAGCGGAGGCACTAGGTGGCTTCCAGCCTGACTAGAACCCAAGATGGCGTCATATTGTTTTCGATGGCCTGTGCTCATTGGTGCATCGCTCCTGAATACTGACCTTATGCATCAGAACGTGTAACATCAGAAAAGCTTTGATAATTTAAAAAACAAATCATATAGTTCATATTCCAAAAATACAAAAGAATCCGTACAAAATCTGAACTTTATGAAAACTCTCAATGCAATGTCAGCTGAAACCGGGGAGTTTGAATACACAAAAAAAGCGTGGGTGTATGTTCCCCAGTTCTTTATTATAGATCACAAAGTCGGGTCACGCCTCCGCGAACTTGGAGAAACAAATCACAGCCTAAATCTGGCAAATTCTCCTGTAGTGTGTGGCCACTTTTTGTCAATAGGAGCCAAGGTCTTGGGTCGGAGTCCATGAGAACGAGACAAGACGAGATTTTGACATAATTTGAAATAAATAATAATAACACAGTGCAGTCCTGTTCACAATTTTGGCCTCTTCATTTTTATTTAATCTATGTAATACTTTAGTCCCCATTGTATGGTGCTTTTTTTTTTATTTTTAACTACAGCGTCTTAAATTATGCCAGCTCTTCACTCTCTCTTCTTTTTCTGTCCAAGCCAAAGGTGAATTCAGGAGGAAAAAATCTCACAAGATCATTTTCTCACGTGTGCACGATCTTGAGGCAGTTTTGGCTCATGGGATCTTGTGGCAAGAAAACTTGTTCCATCCCTAGATTCCCTACACTGCAAATTTAAACTTTAACTTATCATTATTCATCTTATTTTCAGATTTATTATCTACTTATTACACCAGAGACGGCTTCATTCTAATCTAGAGGTCGTATATTTTAAGATAACTTGTCAAGTAAAATGATCTTGCTGCTTGGACAGATAATTTCTCTACTTTTAAGTCATTTTCTGATAGATTGAAGTGTTTATATCTTGAATTTTGGCCAAGTTTTTTCTGCAGTGTAGTAAAAAAACATTGCATTATTGTTGTTTCATGTTTAAAAAAAAAATCGGGAGTAATTTATGGCAGAGAGCGAGTCATGAAATAAAGTAATTTCATTGGTATGTATGTTTCCTAGCTCGGTAATGAATGAGTTTTGTTGTAGTCATGGAAGCTGGTGTCACCTTTCAGCTGCAGTAGTGGTAAAAGTAGTCGTATGTTTAAGTAAATAAGATTCCTTTCGGTGTCTTTCAGAAGCGGTTGTTAAATATTTGTTTCTGACAAATGGACGCAAATGGGACTCTTCCCTCACAGTTTGATTTGCGGCGGCAGTAATTGCAGGATTTGTACTGGCGAGTGTAGAAGGAGGAGTAGTAATTGTAGTAGTACTTGTAGTCAAAATAATACTTGGGCTACGTGATTGTGATAAGCGGGATGTTGGAGATGTAACAGAAGAAGAAGATGCTCAGGAGAGAGTCAGAGGAGCAGAAGAGAGGGTCAAAGGAAGAGAAAATGCAGAGAAGAGGAACAGGATTTAGAGGAGAACGTCAGATGGAACAGATGAAGCAGAGGAGAGCTTCAGATGAAGAGAGAATCCAGAGAAGAGGAACAGGATTTGGAGGAGAGGGTGAGAGAAGCAGAAGGTCAGATGGAGCAGAAGAGAAAGGGTTAGAGGAAGAGAGGAGTGGGTCGGAGGAGCAGAAGATGCAGAGAAGATCAAACGGAGCAGAGGAAACGGTCAGATGGAGCAAAAAAGTGGAGGAGAAGGTCAGAGGAAGAGAAGAGAATGCAGAGGAGAGGAACAGGATGGTGAAGAGAAGGTCAGATGGAACAGAAGAGAGGATCAGCAGAGGAAAGGGTCAGATGAAACAGAGGAGAGGGTCAGGTGGAGCAGAGAAAAAGGGTCAGAGGAAGAGAGAATGCAGAGAAGAGGAACAGGATGCAGAAGAGAGGGTCAAATGGAGCAGAGGAGAGCAGTCAGAGGAGCACAGGATGCAGAGAAGGCCGTGACTGAGGAGAAGAGAAGGTCAGATGGAACAGAAAAGAGGAGCAGAGGAGAGGGTCAGAGGCGGAGAGGAGAAGATCAGATGGAGCAGAAGAGAGGGACAAATTAAGAGAAGAGGGACAGGATGCAGAGGAGGATGCAGAAGAGAGGGCCAGAGGTGCAGAGGACATGGCCAAAGGAAGAGAGAACGCAAAGAGGAGGAACAGGATGCAGAAGAGAAGGTCAAATGGAGAAGAAGAGAGAGGGTTAGAGGAAGAGAAGAGAGGGTCAGATGGAGCAGAGGAGAGGGTCAAAGGAAGAGAAAATGCAGAGAAGAAGAACAGGATGCAGAGGAGAGGGTCAGATGGAGTCAGATGGGTCAGAGGAGCAGAGGAGAAGGTCAAATGGAGCAGAGGAGCAGAGGAGAAGGTCAGTTGGAGCAGAGGAGAGGGTCAGAGGAACAGGAGAGAATGCAGAGATGAAGAACAGGATGCAGAGAGGGTCAGATGGAGCAGAAGGGAAGGGCAGAGGAGCAGAGGAGAGGGTTGGATGGAGCAGAAGATGTAGAGGAGAAGGTCAGATAGAGCAGAGGAGAGGGTCAGAGGAAGAGAGAATGCAGAGGAAAGGCTCAGAGAAGAGAGAATGCAGAGAAGAGGAACAGGATGCAGAAGTGAAGGTCCAATGGAACAGAAAAGAGAAGCAGAGGAGAGGGTCAGAGGAAGAGAGAATGCAGAGAAGCGGAACAGGATGCAGAAGAGAAGGTCAGATGACGCAGAGGAGCCGATCAGATGGAGCAAAAGAGAGGGTCAAAGGAAAAGAAGATGCAGAGGAAAGGGTTGGAGGGAGCAGAGGAGAGGGTCAGAGGACGAGAAAGTGCAGAGAAGAGGAACAGGATGCAGAAGAGAAGGTCAAATAGAGCCGAGGATGCAGAGAGAAGAGAGCAGAAGCTGAGAAGCAGAAGAGAGAGGCTCAGAGGAGCAGAGGAAAAGGTCAAAGGAAGAGGGAATGGAGAGACGAGGAAGAGGATGCAGAAGAGAAGGTCAGATGGAGCAGAGGAGCAGAGGAGAGGCTCAGCTGGAGCAGAGGGTCAGCTGGAGCAGTTTTTGTTGACTCCCGTTAAACAGTAGCCTAGTTTGTTTTGAGTCCCAGTGTGAAGCCTTCGCACACACTGAGGTCACCACTGTTTGTCGTTGTTTTGGAAATTCCATCCCATCATGCTTTGCTGCTCAGGGACCGGCTCCAGGAGGAAATGGGAAACTACTCCGGCGCCACTCGGCAAGTCACATTTTCTTTAGAGACGTTCACAATATTTGCAAAGACCCGTTTCAGTTCACAGCGGACTTTTTAATCCCGTCCCGTCGCTTTAACGTTTGAGAGAAGACGCTGAATTTATTTAATTTACACTAAACTAAAATAAAACCAAACCGATAGATGTTTTGTAGACGTAATTATCTAAGTCCCTACAGAACAGCTTTGTATAAATAAAAGTTCAAAAATGAAAACCCCGTGGAGACACAAAGCATCTGCGTCTGACACACTGGGACTTTTCAGAACATTTTTGTTGAGGTCTAAACTAGGACTGGACCGAGGTGGATTTTTTGGGATCAGTACAGATTAAATGGACTTTGGACATGCTGAATTATAAAACTTGATTTGGGTTTAAGTTGGATTTATTTAGGCTGCAGTTTCTCTAGTTTTGCTTCTTTACAGTCC